TAAGCCTGCCGACAGTTTTCAATATCTGCGAGCTTGCCAGGCTGTGAAGGATTTCGGGCAGTGGCCCACGTTGTGACCTCAGCAGGTTTAGGCTTTAGGGTTTAGGGTTGAAGGTTTAAGGTTTAGGGTTTAAGATTAGGGCTCCTGGCAACCGAGATCCTACACATAGTAAATCATACTGACATGCCCTGGCCAGTTTCCGTTTACCAACCATGTAACATGTATTTATCCCTCGGGATGGCCACAACATACCAGTCTGCGGCGTAACAGCTCAGAACGAAGCCTATATCGCCCCAAAGGCCGTTAAGTTCTCAATGCATGGTCCTCTTCATAGGCTGCGAAGCTGGCGAAAGATCAGTACGTAGCTTTGGAGTCGTCTCTGAACAGCATCTTTGCAGCTTGGCACCAGCATGTTCAGCACAGCTTTTCGCTCAAGTCGCCATCTTTTGAGGGAGTTTGGGCTTGGGGGTTTTGGGGCTTAAGGTTTTGGGGTTTAGGGTTACCCATAGGCCCCTAAGTAGTTCCTTTTTATGGTTTATATTTAGAATCCTATAAGGTAATCCCCAAAAAGGAACTACTTAGGGGCCTTATGGGTAAGCAGCTCAAGAGCCTTTCGTGAGTCTGAAATCCTAAGCCGAAATCTGAAGATGCTCCTAGACGCTGCATGGCTTCCATTCGCTCAGAGCCAAAGGTTTCGGCTAGCGGCGATCGGGAGAAAGTTTTCACCTTATGACAGCCCGGAACTGCATGAAGTACACTGCATATTTCGTTGTTCAGCATACTGTACGGTACTAAAGAGGCGCACTGGACACGTCGTGATCTGACACATCATGCCTGGCGATATCTTGGAGGGGCATTTTGTTCATTATAATGCGATCCGCACAGGGGCCGTACACCTGCAAGAGCTTACCATCACAGGCGATGAAGTAAACGTGACTCACTAGTGTTACAAAATGTTATATACAGACACGTACACACACAAGAGCATGTGCTCATTCATGTGTGTGTTACATGCTGATATCAGGATCTTCCCCCGGACAAGTACGAATACAATGTCATAACAGGGGTTTAGGGTTTAGGTTTAGCGGTTTAGGGGTTTAGGGTTAGACTTTGGTTGCATGATATTTAAACAAAGTGTGCGACAGCAACCTGTCCCAGTTGTGGACATGGGTTGAAGCCCAAAACACAGCAAGACACGACATTACATGTTTGCTGGCGGTTCGTCATTCATGATACATGGACATCAGAATCATCTCCACGAACCACATGACGATGTAGTCATGGAGGAGGCACGTATTCAGCTTGGGCTGTAGACTCCTCCATAAAACACAGTGCACATTGCAACAAGCGAAGCATTGCCATTTAACCCCATAGCAGTTCTGAATGCTGTCGCAGGGATGCTGCAACCTGTAATACCTCGCGCGCATTTGTTAGCTGCCATGACTTCCTTGCTGGTACAGACGTATGGTAATGCACGTTGCAGTGTAAAACGGCTGCACATACTGCTGTACAGGTCAGTCTCACCGTCTAGTCTATTGCGCAATCCAATTAGACTCATGGCACACACCAGGTACTATACCAATAGTCTCCTTTGTAGTTTCTGTTTGTGGATACCTCCTAGGATACTTCTTATTACTTAGCATTTAACTGAACAATCTAAGAAGGAACTACACTGAAGACTATATAGCTACTACATAACAGCTTTCGGCATTCTTCGTCCAAATCCCAAGGACAGGGTGCACCGCGTAGTGGCGAATTCGAGCACAGAGGTGGTCCTTGAGTACAAGGACTGGGTTTTGCATTGCCATACTTCCATACCGTGTTTGGTACCTATACCTCAAAGGGACCATTATGACATGAAGGTTTATACTTTATTCTCCCTGGTTACTTCAAAGCACCGAGGAGAAGTCCAGGCATTCCTCGAACAAGATCCCGCTGCAGCTGCAAAAAGGACCCAGGCAGTTGAGTAAGGTCCCACAGACGGAGCGGCCGATACTGGCAGATGATGTTGACCCTGTACCGGTCAATCCGTTCATTACAACTGATGGCGATGTTTACCTAGAAGGCTGGAGTCAGAGCAGCGCTGCGCCGGTGACTACGCTCATCGCAGGTACTCGCGATGCGAACGCGGGTCTCTGGAGTCAGAACAGCGGTGTGCAATCATCGGCTCTCCAATCATCGCCCGGTTTCTCCGACACGTCATACATTTCCGAAGCATCCGGAGCATTTCCACATACTCTCGTCGACGACAATTCACGCCACTATACATCGGAAAAGATGCCGACATCACCTTCCCACGGGCCCGCTTCTCCCGTGCTTCTCGCTCTGTGTTCAGAACCCCCTTTAGTTTGCAGGCTTGTATGTGTTGTTGTGTGTGTGTGAGATGTTAAAGCTATTTATTGCAGTTACAATGGTCATGTGGCTTAAGCGTAAGCAGATCCGGCTTTACGGTGATGGGTTCCCTAAACCCCAAACAGGTCTAGAGTTTAGGGTTAAACCCTGGACCCTATACCTCTTAAATCCCTCCTAGGTAGTATGAGGGAGACCCTTTAAAGGGGACCCTTCTGAACCCTACATGTGGCCCTCTTGAAGGGCACCTTATTGAGAGGGTCTAAATGCCCCAAGGGTCCCCCTAATCCTAACTCCCAAATCCCAAACCCTAGAAGTTGATCCCAAACCCTAAACCCTAAACCCTAAACCCCTAAACCCTAAACCCTAATCCCTAAACCCCTAAACCCTAATCCCTAAATCCCTAAATCCCTAAACCCTAATCCCTAAAAGTTACGGCAAAACCTCCAAGGATGATCGCCACACCACTCGACAATATCCTTTCCAAGCAGGAGCTTGAGAAGAAGCCTTCGCGTGTGTGGTCGGGTGTGACTCAAATTCAGAGCAACAGATGAAGCTTTGTTTAGGGTTTAGGGTTCAGGGTTTAGGGTTTAGGGTGTTTAGGGTTCAGGGTGGTTTAGGGGTTTGGGTTTAGGGTTTAGATGAAGCTTTGGGGTTTAAGGTCTTCCAGAAGACGGTTCACAATTATGCTGCTGATTGTTGTTTCTTGCGACGGGATAGTTGCCGAGGTTATGGTTCAGATCCAAACGTAGCAGATAGCCGCCGGCAGAATGTTGATGCTTGCTGCTGCTACTACTGCTACTATCATCACTGTTGCTGCTTGTGCTACTCCTAGTCCTAGGGCAAGAGACTGCACAAGCACTGTTGGCCTTGCACAGTTCGGGTTGCTAGCCTGTTCTGACCTAGAGATCTTTGATCATGTCTCCACGCCGTGAATAGGCTTCAGGGTAGAGTTTAGGGTTTAGGAGAAGCCTTGCACACCATAGCCTGACCGGCATGACTTAGGTGAAGCTCTATATCGACTATGTCGCTAGTTTCCTGGTACTTCTGAACACCGTGACCATGCTCATAGAGCTTCAGGCGAGAGACCTCTTCGGGTTTTCAGCTTACTGTCTTGCATTGCAGTCACTGGAGTTTGCTGCTCATTTGCAAGTTTAGGATGTTATGATGTTGGGCCGAGGAGGCGCAGTACACTTTCCAAGTCGTACGGTATCTCTTCACGTAGAGAAACAATCACGGACTATCATGGCTGGTCGGAACCCCACACCCTGGCCTTCGGCCGGAAGATTTAACCCTTCGATATCAGGGCGGCTCTCCCACAAGACCACGCCGTAGATGCAAAGTTCCGTTGTGGCTTCATGCAGGGTGCCAGCATCTGTGACTTGAGAGAGTCATCCCTAATCCGAAACTGCCACCTGGGTCCAAATCTTCTTATAAGGGTGTCGTACTATATTGGGGACTTAAAAAGGGACCCTACTTTAGAGAACTACCCTGCCTTCAGGTGGAAGGGGCCTATGTGGGCCATGATCTTGGGGTCGCGGAGGTCAGCGTTCTGGCGCCATCGCTTCCAGCGATGAGGGTCTTGCACATCATCTTCATGTTCACCAGCTGCATACCCAGAGCCACGATTTAGGGTTTAGGCTTTAGGGTTTAGGGTTTAGGGCACCAGCTGCATACCCAAAGAGCCCGAAACCCTTTACTTTTTGGAATATGGCTTAAACCATAATTAGAGGGTTTACTACCTCAATCAAGGGGTTTTGGGCTCTCCAGAGGCTCGGTACATCCTTACTGTGTTGGTGCCTCATGCAGCAGGCCACGCATCTTTAGTTGATGCCACGCCCTTGATGTTTAATGCGGAACCCTCCTACCATGGAGACGCCCTGCACGACGGAACGACCCTGTGTGGTGTAGGCTTTGTTGAATGTTGAAAGTCGTTTGGAGGACAGTTGGTGGCGAACTGAGTGATGCAACGAGCTGTGGGTTCGGTTGAAGTTTTGTTCCGTTTGCACTGGGCACGCATCCCCACCAAGCAGCAGCAGCAGCAGCAGCAGCAGCAGCAGCGGGAGTAGGAGGAAGAGTGCTCGTCGTCGTCGGTGTAGCACTAGTACCAGCCCGTAGCCGCAGTGGTATAAGTAGCAGTTGCAAATGTCGCGGTCACAGGCACAGATGCAGTAGCAGCAGCAGCAGCAGCAGCAGCAGCAGCAGTAGCAGTAGTAGTCCTCGTCGTCGTCGTAGCCATTGTGGAAGCAGTAGCGTCAGCAGTAGCAGTCGCAGGAGCAGTAGAAGTAGCTGTCGCAGTAGTAAGTAGTAGGAGCAGCAGCAGGATGAGGAGGAGCAGTAGTAGTAGTAGTAGTAGTAGCAGCAGCAGCAGCAGCAGCAGTTGTGGTAGGAGGGAGACAATCGTTATTCATCGTCATTTGCTCCTTAATCTTATCATTATTGTCGTTATGATGACAATCAGTCTTAAGTTTAAACGCTTCGCGTCGTCCGCCTCGGCCCGGCCGCAAACACAGAGGGCCAAGGAACTGCTGGTGCGAATTTGCTGCGGCTCACCGTCGTACGGAAAGACTGAATTAAGGGATGGGATAAGAGACAAAACCAAAGAGAAGGGGGCGGGGAAAAACTGGACGGCGTAGGAAAGAGACGAGGCAAAAAAGAAGAAGTGGAAAGCAGGCTCAGAAACTCGAGTTTGATAAAAAAACCAAACGAAAACAAATGGGCCTGTGCCAGAAATGGAGGGAAAGCGAAGGCTTCCGCTTTTCCGTCATTCTTGTTTTTTTTTGTTTTTTCTTGCTTGCACTGGCTGAGAGCGGCAGCCGTCTATGCGCTGCAACCCTAAGGTCCTCGACACAAAGCACAGGCCCATTTGTTGTCATTTCCTGCCCGTTATCAAACTCGAGATTTTGATCCTGCTTTCCACTTTAATTGTTTTTTTTTGCCTCGTCTCTTTCCTCCGCCGTCCAGTTTTTTCTCGCCCCCTTCTCTTTTGTTCTTGTCTCTCATCCCATCCCTTCAGTCTTTCCGTCCGACGGTGAGCTGCAGTAAATTGACACCAGCAGTTTGTTGGCCCTCTTTGTTTGCGGCTGGGCCGAGGCGGACAACGCGAAGCGTGTAACATTATAGACTATTAGAGCAGTCGTCAGTTGAGGTCAGCAATAGTCGTGATAATCGTGGTAGTCGTAGGAGAAGGAGGAGTAGTAGTGGCAATGACCGCAGTAGTCGTCGTCGTAGTAGCAGTAGGTCAGTCGTCGTCCATGTCGTATAGAGGTGACTGTTAGGCGTAGTCGTAATTTTGTTGTTGTTGGTGGTGGTGCTGCTGCTGCTGCTGCTGCTGCTGCTGCTGCTAGCAGGCGTAGTGTTGTGATGAGTGTGAGCAAGAGTCGAGTGAGAATAAGAAATGAGAGCAAGAGTAAGAACGGATAACAGCAGCAGTAGCAACAGCCGTGGTAGTATAGGAGTAGTATGACCGGCATCGCTGAATCGCGAGAGTATGCTGGCGCAGGTGTCAGCCGCAGTTTCAGCCCAACTTGACGCGGCACTAACCATCACCCTGCTGTGTTAGCACCAGAAATCCGAGCCACAAGGAATCCTTCCACTGATTCTGACCATGTCCGTGCATTCCTTCCTGTTTCTGAAAGGGTCCTAGGTAGGCAGTGTTCCGGGGGATACTTTCCCAAATCTTAACAATGATTTCTAGCATAGAAACCCCACATTCTGCAAAATGGACCCCAAAACCCTAATTAAACTCTAATTTCTAAATTCTGATCCCTTTAGGCTTTCGGACTCTTCGGTTAGAAGCGAGGTTCATGTTTGTACTGGAGTGGTTCCTGCGCATTGGCGTGGAGCACCTGGGCCGGAGTCTGAATCATAGCCTAAACCCTAAACGCCCTTGAAAAAAAAAGAAGCCCTAAACCCTGCTTGGGGTTGAGGGGGTTCAAGGAGTTTTGGATTTTTTTAGGGTATCAGGGTCTAGTGCTTGGGGAGCTTCGGGTGGTTAGGGTTCAGGGTTTAGGGTCTAGGGCTTTTTGGGTTTAGGGCGTTACGCCCTGTTTCGGGTTGTTTTTTAAACTGTATTTTTGCATCAGCAAATCCCAACCCAAGAACCTAAAAAAATTCTTTGAAGGAGCCCTCAAAAGAAGTCCTTGTATTAGCCTCATAGCAATCCTGAGAGAGGATGTGCGACAAGATGTTTGGGTGCTTTCGCCCTGGCAGCTGAATTAGACCCAGATATCGCGAATCGGTTGAGGGTTGAGGTAAACTCGAAGCACTAAGCCCTGATCTTGCGACTGAAGCCGCAAGCCACACAAGACCTTATGGCTGAATATCTAGATGCTGTGGTTTCGTTGGAGACGCCAAGCTCTTGGAGTCTGTGTCCGCAAAGGCTTGCAGCTTCGAAACCCTAAGGTCCATGTACCAGCACAGACTATATCCTAAGCCCCCAGTAGCCACATGAGGACTACTTTGAGGCCTAAGTATATACTAGATGGGTACATGGACCCTTAGACAAGCCTAATGCTGACAGTGTTTCGTTTCTGGTGCACATCAGCTTGGTCTCAGACACATCCATGATACTTGCAAGCATCGCTGGCCCTGAACATCATCACTCTGCAGAACGATAAAGGACACAACATGCAGTCTCATCAACACTTGAAGCCGTTGTATCGGTTGCAGTTCCTCCTCCCTGCAATTTGAACCTAAACCCTAAACCCTAAACCCTAAAACCCCACCTCACCGCCCCCCTCCTCCGGCCACCCAGAAGCGCACACGTCGTCCTTAAGTCCAAGCCGTCGGCACTGAGGAAATGGGCTTAGGGTTTAGGGTTTAGGTTTAGGTTTTAGGGTTTAGGGTTTTAGGGTTTCGGGCAATGAGGAAGCGGGCCTTCGTGAGAGATTATGCCAACTGGTTCGACACCCTGATGGTTCTGCTCAGTGTTTTTGACATCTACTTGACGCTGGCCTCAGTTCAGAGCGACGGAGCTCGACAAAGTGCGTCCTGGATGCACAAGCTTTTGATGTGCGGGCTTCGAGTTGGGGATTTAGAGCACTACGTACCCGAAAGCTTAACTTTATGTTAGCACAACTTGACACGAAGAGCTGAAGCCAATCTTTCTTGAAAGGGCAGATGTGCAGAAAGCATCCTGGGACGTGTGATGCTCGGGGTTTAGGGTTCAGGGCTTGGGATGTTAGGGCTCGGGTGTGATTCAGCGTAAGTGGAGCTTCAAAAATTTGATACGTACCTTGCTCCAAATTTGAGTGGCTTGACGGTCTATGAACTTCGTTGCTTTCAGATAGACACTAAAGCCCTACTCCCTGATCCTGAATCCCATAAGACGCTCTACCCGAGCCTATGCCCTACTCCCGATAATCCTTACCTAAGCCCACAATACTTGTGTGGGTCCAGGTAATTCCCCAAACACTGAAACACAAGCCGAGGTCATCATCCTTCGTCTTATGAGAGCTCTCAAGTCTTTGCGAGCGATTCGGATCGTTCGGAGCTTGCGCCTCTTTCAAGGGCTGCTTGGTGGTAGGGTAGAGTGTACAGTGAGTAACCTTTATCCGTTTTAGCATATTTTAAACCCCTTGTAGTCCCAAAGGTTAACCTTTACTCCAGTTAGGGAGACTGGACTGACAAGTAAGGCTGAGGGTGCTGGTGAAAGCCTGCACATGCTTCCTCCCATCGCTTTGTTGGTCTATGGTCCTACTGGGCATTTTCATGTGCCTCGGATTGCTCGTTCATCAACGTCAAGGTGGAGGGCGTAGGGTTCAAGATATGCGTGGGTGGGTTATGAAGCATTCGGAAACCCAAGACCTCAAACCCAATAAGCCCTCAATCGAAACCAACATGTGTCCTGGTTCAGAAGGCCATGTGAAATTCAGAAGGTTGAAATCCCTGCGCCCTGGGGAAAGGACCCAAGGAGCCTAGCAAAGAGGAGTTGCCGAAGAGTTCGAGGAGAGGGCTACCTTGGTTACCCCAGGCCCAGAGGCTCCAAAATACGGTTTAGGGCTTAGGGTTTCTATCCCCTAAACCCAGCAATTAAGGGCCTCACTAGCAGAAACTGCTTCGAGACACCCCCTCAGCCCCTCAGCGGAATACTGTGAACCTTGAACCCAAACCGCCCTTCTGCTGAGAAAGCCCACATCAACCGCTTACCACTGACCTCAAGTCCTTGGCTTTCTCTCCCCTTCCCCCACCCCCACTCTGCACCGTCACCCAGCAACAGCCAACTAACCCTAAACAGCTTCATACGGTTGATGGTAGATATCCTGCATTACCCATAATAAGGAATATGTTTTAATTCCCCATAGCTTAGGGTCCTTAGGGTAATGCAGGTCCTTAGGGTAATGCAGGATTTTCCTCACCAGCCGTATTGGAAGACGGAAGAATTACCGATACCATTATCCTGAGAGTCCCTTATAATATGGGTATACTGTCATGTAGCCTCCACACCTCCGAAACAATCCTTTACTTGGAGCGCCGGGGGACTGAGTAAGCAGGTAATCAGTAGGAGTTCTAAATACCCTAAACGGACTCTAATTGGGGTTATGGTACTTATAACTCTATATAATAACTACTCACTACGTTCCCCGACCCTCCAAATAGGCACGCACCCCCCCCATTATTATATTACAGTATCCTACAATACAGTGCCATTCTAGTATATTATAGCATATTCAATATACTCGAGTGTATCATGCTATATTATATTATAGTATATTGTAGTATAGTAATTTAGAGTCTATTATAGCATAGTAGAATATAGAAAAGTACGACGAAGACCAGGTGCCTGGGAGCTTTGATGATGGGAAACCTGCTGCAGAGTTACATCCAGGATGACATGCAGCCACTAGAGGACTAGGGGGTTGAGTTTTGTTTGGAGCTTAGGATTTAGGGGTTATAGGGTGTAGGGGTCTAAGGCGTTCAGGGGTTGTAGGGCTTGTGTAGGGTTTAGGGTTTGCAGCTTGTGGAGGACCGAGAGTGGATGTGGGATCGCTACGGGACCGCCTATCGCGCCTGGTACACTCTCTTCGAGATTACTTTTGTGGCTTGACTGATTCAAGGTCCGTGCAGGTTTTGGGATTAAAAGCCCTCTTTCGACTACTTCTTGCTGCAGACTGAGATTCGTGACTCTTTTCTCCTTCGCGTTGGCAGCTCTTTTTGTCTAGAGGTTCCTCAGCTCCTGTTTTGTGATGTAAATCTTGACAACTCAACGACATGCTTGCCCAGGCAGGCCGGTTCTTGTCATGTTGGCTGACCGTTCCCTGAACCGTGGAACGGTTTTGGGTTTAGGGTTTAGGGCTGTTTTGTATCCCAAAGCCAGCAATCAATGTAATTGCTTTGTCAACTGGTTGTAGGGTGCAGAGTAGGCAACGTATCTTAAGCAACCGACGTGTACCTACCATCTCAGGATCAGCCACCTCGTATCGAAGGTACGATAGCCACTCTTAGGTGTATGCTTGAGGCCCAGAAGGCTGAAGGCCCGTCTCCATGTCCACATCCGTCCCAGATAAGACCCTTTAAAATCCTAAGCCTGAAACCCCATCAACCCCAACCCGAACCTCTGAACCCCAAAACCCTAAACCCTAAACCTCTAAACCCTATAAACCCTAGCCTCAAAACCCTATAAACCCTAAGAACCTATAAACCCGATATACCCTATAAAGCCCTAAACCCCTAAACCCTATTATAACCCTAAGCCCTAAACCCTAAACTCTACAGTGAAGTCCGTCGCCTCCCTGGTTCTTAGTAGGGAATGGGGAAATGGATCCCTATGATAGCCCCTTAAGGTCCCCTATAGTAGTCCCAATAACCTATTCCCCCATTCCCTACTAAGAACCAGTCAGTCACTTCCTAGGCGGGGAACTGGCCCAGCAATGTCCGCCCTGTCCTGCAAAACGTCAGCCATGCCTTCGTGTCTCCCGGTTGAGAATTTAGGGTTTAGGGTCTAGGGAATTTAGGGAATTTAGGGTTAAGGGCGAGAATTTTATGACTACCTATAGTCTCAATTGTAGATCTTTTCGGGGGGGTTTAACCAAAGAAGGACCCTAAAAGGGGACCCCCAGAAGGAACTACAATGGAGACTATAGGCCATCTCTACGTACCCCAAGGCGGGAACCTTACGTCCGAAGCTTAAATACGGTTGATGGTAGAAATCCGGCACGACCCATAGAAAAAAGGAATAGGCCATAATTCCCATGGTCGTTTAGGGTCCTTAAGGTAATGCAGGATTTATATCATCAACAGTACTTCAGGGGCGGGGGTGGCGGGAAGGGGAGTGATAGTGGACTAGCTGAAGGTCCCTTCTAGGACCGGGTGTTGGGCAATGTTGGGCAGAAATTGTTGGGTCACTTCTGAAAAGAAGCTCAAACAGAGGGAAACAGCACTTGGGCAGGCCCATAAGTTTTCATGGCCCCATCGGGCTTGCGGTTCCCCTTCAAAAAAAGGGGGTAGGAGAATCAGTTTCAGTATTCTCTTCGGGTCCCTACACAGTATCAGTACAGAGTATAGTGAAACATACTGCAAAACCCTATACTGATTATTGAGGCCCCCATGTGTCAACACATACACACGTACATACACACACATACATGTGTGTGTTGCTTCTTTAATTGGGCCTTGCGACCAATAGCGGATAGTGAGTCGTTCATGCAGGATAATATGAGGTTGATGGTTATGGGCAAGCTGTGTTCCTTGCATATCGATGGGAAGCTTCTCCAACGCACAACATGTTTCGTTGGCTGACAGGCGTGGTAAGCCCGCGTGTGTTTCGTTCATATACGGCCTACCAGCATGCAAACAGCCCCATATCAAGGACCCAACACTCTAAAAGGCTGAAAGGGGTTGTAAGCTGGCACACCTTCACCATACAGTATTTTCGCTGGACTTCATTCTCCTGAACCATAAAACCCGATGGTCCCTGCACCATGTTGACATTCAACTGCTCCTAGAATGGAATAGAAATGCTGAGTTTAAGGGTTGACACAGTTTTCTTTCTGATTTAGGATCCGGCACCTCGGCACTCTTGGTAGCTATAACAAAGTATACGATGGTGGTATTTTCAGCGCACGAATAACACACATTTGCGATGACTGCCATTACTACTATGTCATTATTGAGATTGTTATATTCAACAACAATAATTAGTATGTAATGATGATGATTAGAGTAGTACTGTAGTCGTAGTCGTAGTCGTAGTCGTAGTCGTAGTAGTAGTAGTAGTAGTAGCAGCAGCAGTAGTAGTAGTAGTAGTAGCCGTGGTGGTGGTGAAGGTGGTGGTGGTGGTGGCGGTGGTGGTGGTGGTGGTGGTGCCGCTGCTGCTGCTGCTGCTGCTGGTGCTGGTGCTGGTGCTGGTGGTCGTAGTCGTAGTAGTTGTGGTAGTAGTAGTAGTAGTAGCAGTAGTAGGGGTAGTAGAAGAAGAAGTAGTAGTTGCTGTAGTAGTAGTAGTAGTAG